TAGTTAAGATTTTTGTAAAAACATTCACTCTAGTTGTCCCAGTTTGGTCACTTTTTAGGTTTCAAATTTTACTACCTGGTTGGAAATCGTGTTACCTAACAAAACTCCTCTAATGTGTACAGACATTCTTATCTGGCAAATCCAAATATAAGAACACACCTTTATTTTGTTGAAGTCATGTTTAAAGTATCAGAAAAAATGTGTTTCTTGCGTGTAAACTGTGAAGAACTATTCTCTACCTCCTGCAATTTTCAACATGTTTTTCAACTTTTCTTCTCAAATTGCTTCTTGATTGGTGTAAAACTATAATTTGCATTTACAGGAGGTATTATCCCACCAAATTAAGTCAAAATTTGAAAATTATAAAAATCTGTCATACGCACTTTCATTTCTAGTAAAAGATGGATAAACTTCTTCTCTCAGATGACCAGACTCGTCATAAGAAGTGACAGTGTAATTGGCTCAAACTGTTTCGGTGATAAGAGTCATTTTCTTTTGAAGAACTTGAGCGTGGACATTAATTGGCAATTCTATTTTCTAACAAAGTAATCTAATCAGGCTTTTATTATTAACCAATGACTAAAATGGACTAATGCCCGCCAGCCTTCTCTACAGGACAATCTAAGACATTAGGACTATATGATCTAATTATGTTATAGAGGCAAAATACATGACAAATTATATGATACGGAAACATCAGAAGTCACAACGAACTTAGTTAATTGAAGTATTCTATCCTATCAAGTGTTTTTGTAAGTAAAGAAAAAAGTACTTTCTTCAAATTATTAACAGAAATACTACATACTTCTAAGAATTGTTCACACCTGAAGTTGCATTGTGTTTTGTTTCTTTATTAGTAACGCTTTATTATTTGTCTGTCTACATCTCCAAAACACAAAATACTAGGGGTGTAACGATATCCAAGTCTTACAATACGATATCGTCACGGTATGAACCTCACGGTACGATATTTATTGCTATATCATGGGAAAGTTCACAATATGGTGGGGAGAGTCACGATTATGGATGTAACAATATCCAAATCTCTTCGTATGATAGTTTCACAATATACATCTCACGGTACGATATTTACTGTGAAATTTTGTGGAGGCTAAACAGCTAAAACTGTTAATATGGTATTTTTTTTCTCTTAAAATGCCTTGACAAGATTTAATCCAAAAAACTAAGACTTAAAAGTGGTTAGAACTGTTAATTCTTCTTGTAGTCTGCACTGAATTGGAGCAAAGGATCATGGTCTATGTAGTTCTCTGTCTTTTTTTAGTTATTGCTGCACCATAACTCTTAATTTAAGCAAAGAAACTTGTAATTCGAAATATTGTGATGGCCCACGATATTAATGTGAGAACTTTGACGATACCATATCACAATATTTCGGTTATTGTTACCGGTACATCTCAACAAAATTCTAAACTCCAGCTTGTGATGTCATATAGTGCTAGTTTTCAAGTTAACAGCTCTTTTTTATTTTTTTCTTCAGAGATTCACAATTCCAGAGATGAAACGATCCAAATGATGAATGTGAATGTGTATGTTTGTGAGTTTAAAAACACAGTACAGCACTTTCTGTATTACCACATGACATCACAAGGTGGAACGGAGTGTTTTCTGATTTTGAACTTGGCCTAAATATGCAGGGTTTGTGTGTTAAACATGTGAATGAAACAAAACACAACTCCAAGTATGTTTTTGGTCAGGAAACAACATTATAATTTCAGAAAATGGCGTAATATGGGCCCTTTAAATAACTATGTGTGTAAATCTAATTATAAAATGTACTTTAAATCTTTAATCTTTCCATCAGGTTCTTTTTTTAACTGTTTGAATATTAGCTTAAACATTCTCAAGTTCAAGATCTAGGCGTGTGCACTGCCAAGAATGAAATCCTAAATAGTGAGTCCATGTTTTTCTAATATTGTGCAGGCCTTGTTTCTGAAGGCTCCATGAATCTCCCTGTTATAGTCCATGTCACATGCTTGTGCGCAGATGTATACTGTAGTGGATGGTGGGGGTTTCCATGCTGATAGAATTAACATGTGGAAATGACTTTTATGCTACATATTTCCTGGGCGGCCTTCCTAAAAAATATGATTAATTTACAGAATATAGTTAATTTCTCCTCTGTGGGATCTTTTCGGCCTACAGTCTATCATACGCGTCCAGCTTCAGTCCCGCGTCTGCATGCGAGTGTCCGAGATGCTAACGGCTGACGGCTGTGTGCGAGCACCTCCACGACGGGCTAATTGGTTTAGCAGCACAGGGGTCAAAGGTCAGTGCAGCATGGCGAAACTCAACATGAACCTGATGTTGAGAGGAAGGTTTGGAGGGAAAACCATGTGGAGGACAATTGGCTTTTTATCGACCCCCACTTTCCCTTTCACTTCAGCTAACTGAGTGAAAAAAATAAAAGGAAAAGCACAATACAAATTCAATAGACAAAAAAAAAAAAAAAAAAAATTGCTTACATTTGATGGGAAATGGAAACTAAATCAGTATTAATGGTAAGGCAGCGAACATTAAAAAAGGCTGTATATTTTTTTTCTAAATAAAAGTTAATGATCATATATTTTATTTGACTATATTGAATTCCATTTTTTCTTTCAGACAAAGTTTTTTTTTCATACATTTCATTTCAATTGCTGTCAGATATGAAAACGAAACCAAATCTTGGTCTGAAAAACGATAAAATAAATTACCGGAAGACCACATGAACCTAGTTGGACTGATAATGTTCATAGTTTATTGAAAAACTGTGCACTTTATTTCACTATTTCAAATGCAATTGCAAGCTCAATATTAAACTCACTGAAATGTAAAGCTGAAATACAAGAATTTAAGACTCATTTTATGTGATCTAATACTTAAGTTGGTCTCTTTGGTTGATCAGTTTGCCTGGCTGAGTAACAGACATTTCTATTGGTTGGAGACAATATGAGGAGCCACATAGAGAAATTCAGAGATAAACCAAAAACGAAAAAGGGAATAGAGGCAAATGTGTATAATATATTTTGGTAATACATTGGAGTAAGTGCAGAATACTGAATCCCAAAGCTATGGTTAAGCTGTAAACTTGAGTTCGATATAATGCCGGTGAATAGGTCCAGTTTTGCATGATTCAAATACAATCAGAAAAGGTTGAAATGTTATTGTTGCCGTTGAGGGGAGGGGTTGGGACCGTGACATGAGAAAATTTGTGGTGAACTGTCGCCTCAACACATTTTCAACCCTTCTTCGGACCAGTGTCACAAGCTATTACAATAATCTGGAATATTGAATGGGAGGCTTTCTTATGCAGTGTGAATGATACAGTGTGTGTAATATGCAGCACAGACCCAACCTGCACTATCAGCGGCCCCTCTGTTGGGTTCGCAGAGGCTGGACTTTGTGTGTGGATCTGAGGGGATCATTTACCCGTTCCAACCCCATTACTATTCATGAGATGGGTAGGCTAGGGGCGCAGGATTAGGGACTCCCTGGGTGCTTGTTGTGCTGTAGGCTGCAGCTCAGGCCTTCAGGGGTGGTGGGTCGGTGGGACGGGGGGCTGTCTGGCACCAGTGGTGAGTCTATTATCGCCATGGGACCCCTCTTTCCCAGAGAAGTGCACTTACTGGCACCAGGGGCTAATGGAAACGCTCGCTCTTGTTCAAATTCTCCTTTTTTTAACCTCGTCACCCTTCACTGCTCTGTCCTTGTGCCATCCTTCCTTCCCCCCTGCACTTGTAAAAAAAAAAAATGATGGGGAAGTTTCCCTATTTCAAAGTTGAAATTGTGTATTTCTATTGGTATCTGCACCGTGAAGAGCTGGGATGGCTGCTATATTTGCAATGAAAAAGTACTTTCCCATAACTCTGTAGGAGCTTTGATCCTCAATTTTCCAAATGTAACACCCTCAGTTCCCCCTCTGCCCCAGGATAGCCAGGGTGGACTGCTCTGAGCATGCTCCAGACCAAGCCCATGAAGAAACACATGTAAACAAATGATGGGACACAGGGTAGGGAACAAAAAAAAGAAGAAGAAGAAGAAGAAGAAGAAGAAGAAGAAGAAGAAGAAGAAGAAGAAAGATACTAAAGATGTCTTAAATTGTTAACTTACAAGACGCAGTTGTATCATCAGATTGGGTTCAAGTCATGGTAGCCTTCACAAAAGTCTATAGGCGGGTCTCTATGTGCATGTGTAATAGTTTTCACTTTCAGGAATCTTAGGCCATATCAAGTTCAACATTTTTTTTTTTTTTTGTTTTTAAAGTCTGGCTCTCTTTTCAAGATTAATTCTGACCACTACCATCAAGCAAATTATATGTTTCAACCAGTGGAGAGAGAAGTATTAAAAAATTGAAAATATTGCAATAGTTGTTTAGAGGCGAGATTTGAATATCAAGTATATTGTCTATAAAAGTGTTTCCCAAACCTTTTTTTTCTGGGGACACATATTTTAAAAGTCACAAAGTCAATAGACATTATTGGTACATCACAAAATAAAGGTGGATTTGACCATTATTGAACATTACTGAGGATATTTTATTGTTGACTAAGTGATCGTGTCTTTCAACAATTAGTATTACACAAGTTTTAAACAATAAAAAACAGTGATTGGACCAGCAATAAAAATGATCCATAAGTCGCCTATTTAAACATTAAATGTAGCCCAACATTCAACATTCAATTGACCCACATGCAGATCGTGACAAGGCGACCCAAAAAAAATCCCCTTAGGGTCGCGACTCAGTCTTTGGTAAACTGACAATGAATAAAAATTTACCTCAAAAACAGACAGAAATGTTTAGTGTAATCTCCCAAACACGGGTATGAGTTAAGTACATTCTCAATGCATTGCCAAAAAATAAATTGAGTTTTGTTTCAATATTGTCAAGCTATTTATTATTGAACATCCACATTATGTTCAACTTCAACTTCTTGTCTACCTTTACGTTGTAAGCTTCTCCCACACCTCACCTCCTCTGTCTCTGCTCCGTCTCTCTTCAGGTGATGAGCATCCTGAGTAACCCGAGCGCGGTGCCCTCCCAGAGCCAGCACGACTTCTCCATCTCGCCCCTCCACAGCAGCCTGGAGAGCTCCAACCCCATCTCAGCCAGCTGCAGCCAGCGCTCCGACCCCATCAAGAGTGTGGACTCCCTGGCCTCGTCCCAGTCCTACTGCCCCCCCACCTACAGCGCCACCAGCTACAGCGTGGACCCCGTCGCCGCAGGATACCAGTACAGCCAGTATGGACAGAGTAAGTGTCATGGGATTTTTGGTTCAGTGGGAGAGATAAGCGTGGAACCAGTCTGGTCAATACAGCTGGCTTGTTCAGACAAAAATGTTAAAGTTCACTATAAAGGTATCTATTAAGGTTTTCATCCATTTAAAAACTGGACCCCTTCGCCATAGCATACCAGTACAGCCAGTATGGACAAGGTATTATAGGATTTAATATCTACAAGGTTTTGATCCAGGGTGGAAAAAAACATCGAATTCATTCTGGCCTATGCAGCTGGTCAGACAAAAATGTAAAAGTTCAATATAAATGGATCTAAATATAAAAATAGAAACGTTGGACATAAACACAATACATTAATTAGAAGCCAAGACAACAATTTAGGGAAGCCAATCCAATTTAAATGCTATCCATGAGTTTCAGAATGATTAAAATGTGAAAAAGTCCACAAAATGTTGCATATAACCCTTGAATAATTCCTCTAACTCAAGAATACACATACGATTTTACTACCAATTTTATCATTCAAAACCATGAAACAAAAAGAAAACAATCTGCAGATCAATTTTATAGTTACATTCTTAACCCTTACATTTTAAAAGCGCTGGCCCATTTTAAGAAAGCACCCGTTGCCCTTTGCCCTCTTTTCTGGAGAGAATGGGACACGTGCTCTTGATAAAACCTCCCCATTGGCTCCAGCTCTGGATTTCTGCGAGAGGAGCGGACACACCCCGCTCCTCTCGACCCGGGACAAGCAGAGGGACACTTCAAAGGAGAGGAGACACCCGGAGGCGACGCTGTGTCCTCTGTCCCACCTCTGTCTCACCCCCCTGTCCGCAGACACACACACAGCCCCGGGGAAGGAAAGGGCGCTTTTATTAGATTAGCATAATTGAGTGATGCTGTCAGAGCTGTTCACGAGAGGTAAGAGGAAGCACACTTTGACCAACAACAAAGCTTCGCCTCACGATTGTTTGGTTTTGTTTAGTCAGTTAGTGAAGAAATCCGCACTGACGTTTGATAGTAATTGGGATTGTGAATGTCACTAATCCCATGGGTTCACTATCAATCAAATTTTATTTATAAAGCGCTTTCCAAATCTCAAGGTGACCAAAGTGCTTTACGTGCAAATCAACACAATAGATACATTGGAAAAACATTAAAGAATAACAGTTTTTGGTTACAGGGGTTAAATATTTGAGGCACTGTTAGAATTAGATTAGGTAACATTACAGTTTCTTTTGATACGATCATAAACGATACATTTTCTGCCTTCTTTGTCATTATTATTAGTTTGTACGACCATAAACAAACAAAAACAAACAAAAAAATCCTTAAATTTTTCTCATTCTCATTTTGCTTTTTTTGATACGATTATAAATGTTGAATTTCTGTGCCTTCTTTATCATTATTATTAGTTTGTACGACCATAGTATGAAATAAATTTTACTATATGTAAATATAAGAAACCACATCATTTTTGAAACTCTGTCATGAACAGGGGTGGGTTCATACAAGTTTTTTCTTCTTCCCAACTGCTTTTGGAGAAATGTACTTTTGTATATATAGTAAGATTATTGTTTCTTTCTTGGCACAAACTTGAAATAAAAAACAATTCACTCAGTTATAAAGCTAAGGAATACTCAAAACTAGTTGTTATACCACTTCTAACTAATACTATTTACTTGTCATGGAGTTTGCATGTTCTGACTGTGGTTGGATAGGTTTGCTCCTGATGCTCTAGTAAGTTAGGGCAATGATTCTCAACCTGGAGTCTGGGTGATGATAAGATACTTGATCATTTTGTGAGAAGCCCTTTTTGTAATTAAGGGGATCGCACTGAGTAAGGTTTAATCCTCCACTCACTCATTACCGTAAACCTATGTCTCAATATCAAGAATGGTTGCCTAGAAATTGAAGCCTTGTATAATTTTGGACTTGCCAGGCCTATGGTCCAAGGTTGCTCCAGCAGAGTTGAAGGATGGGCCAAATGCAGAAGATAAATTTCCATACAAGGACATTCTACCACTACTTAACTACTACTATGGGCAGTAGTTGGTTAGCCCACTACTCCGCTATTGGCATTCCGTACTTTTGTAGTGGCCCTGGGCAAGACACTTAAAAGGACAGCCCAGAATTTTAGACATAGGACCTCATTTCCTAGTGAGCCAGAGTGTTGGAGATGTGTGGAGACACTTTTTTAAATATTCCATCCAGTCCTTGTATTTGTAGAGGTCACTGGTGCTAGGCTAGTGCATGTCAATGGCCATAGTTAGCCTGCTTCTAAAAACAGCCTACAAAGCACCCGACGCAAAACAGTTATAACATCAAACTATTGATGTGAATGCCTGTGTCAATAAAATAATTTTAGAAGTAAAACAAACCTTGCATTTGAAGGGTTTATGTCTGAGCAGCAGCAGCTACTTGTTCTTCCTGATTGCTGGGTTTCAGATTCTAGAATGTGGTGATCTCATATTCAGATGGGGGGCAAGAGCCAGTTTTTCCTATTAATTACATTGTACTTAACCATGAAATATCAGAAAGGTGAATTCACAAATATGGAACTTGATCATGTCTATTATTGACTCAACCCAAGACCATGCTATATTGCAACAAAAACGTGCCAGTTGAACATTATTAATTTTAGCTGCCTCCCATTTGTATTAAATAATATTGTCCTATAGAATGTAGTGATGTCATCCGAAACCCAGCTATTGAAAGCTTGTGACAGCAGCGAATTGATATCACCTAGCACCTATCATACCGGCAAAGTTAAATTCCACTGCTGCTGAAAAAATAGTCCCTGAACATGCAACAATTAATCCGATGCAAGGTTAGTTTAATTTCAAACATTTATATCGACAGTCTGGCATAATAATAGATTTGCTTCGAGTGCTTGTGGCGTGGGTAAGTGGCAGGCTAACTATGGCCATTGACATGCACTAGCCTAGCACCAGCGACCTCTGCAAATACAGTACAAGGACTGGATGGAATTTTTAAAAACGTCTCTAAACGTCTCCATCTTGGGCTAACTAGGAAATAAGGTCCTCTGTCCAAAATTCCGGACTGTTCCTTTAAACTAATTGATCTGTGGACAGCGTGAGTGAGAATAGTGCCTACATGTAAAGCGGTTTGATGATCCAATATAGACAGGGTCTTTATACAGTCCAACTTTGGTTTAGGCTAACAAGATCTGTAGACCATTTCCATCCATCCCTCAGTGCATCTGCTGCTCAGGTTTCCATGTGTGTCGTGTGTGTGTTTATGTGTGCGTATGTGTGTGTGTGTCACGTTTTGTCATCTTCACGGGGAAGTGACGGGCGCGCGGATGTGATCTGAAGTGAGGTTAATTGAGACGCTGATTGAGCACAGTGGATGTGTAATGAATGAAGGGGAGAGGGAGAGAGCTGCTGTCTGCCTTCCCAAATGATGGTCCATGTGGCGTGCGGAGGGCATGAAATCACAGATGCCAGGTTTAATGAAGACTGGCACGTCCCGGAGCACACGGCAACCTGTGTGAGTGACAGCGCCATGCCATCGCCGTGCCAACCGCAGACAAGGGACGGAGGGGGAGGGGCTTTGTCTCCTACTCGCTACTGCCACAACTTATTTCAGCCTTAATCACGGAAATGATATGAGAATGAATGGGGCATATGTCTCGAGAAATCTGCCACCTGTCTGTCAGTTCGTGCACATGCAAGTGGAGAAATGATTGCGTTTAGACCTGTTGTATAATGAATAGTCCACATAGGCATAGGGGAAAGCCAAATGGTCAGAAATGGCACCTTCTTGTATTGATAGTAGCAATAGGAGCCTTTTGACAGTGTTCAAGTTAGTATTTTGTTAGGAAGCCCCTCTTGGTGGTTTTCAGATTCTACCAGATGGACGACAAAAAAGATAGATAGATATTTCTATACTGGAAATTAATATTTTCAGCAGCAACAATGAAACATAATAATACAACAAGAGCCAGATATCCATATTGTTAACCCTAACTTTGCCATGAAATATCTAGGAAGTAAATCCACAAATGTTTAACCTGACAATTTCTATTTGTGACTAAACCTATTAATGCCACCTAGTGCCTCCGCTCAATTTCATTTCTCTCCAGTGACTAGGTCAGAAATTGGAACACACTAGATGGTTTGCAAGAACTCCAGAAGTTGTAGACCGTGTACTGGCCAATCAGTAAAGAGCTGTGAAGCCATGACTTCAAACTCAAGCGCCTGTCTGGGTCCCTTTTGTGGTACAGCACAACAGTAAACAAAGCAGTCGAGATGGATGTAGACGAACATTACCATATATTCTGTGTTGGCAACAATTCCCGAGCTCAAGGATTTAAAGCCGGAACAAAGAGAATGTTTGGTGAATTTTATCAAGGAGAAAGACGTTATTGTCCTTCTTCCTACGGGATTTGGCTCATTACATACGTCACAACCAAATAGCAGCGATTGGTTAAATAAAAAAGTAACCGCCTACCGTCGAGTGAACAAATCCTAATGCTGCGAGGTCAGACAGTTTTCACGAAGTGAAACTGGCTGATGAATCAGGCTAGTACCTGCCCCATCTGTATTAAACATTACTGGTGAATAGAATTTAGATTTTTAGATTTCAATATTGTGTATATTTTGGATTAGACATGGATTTTGATATTGTGTATTGTATGTTTTAATAGAGAAAAACTTTAGGATGAAAAAAAACACACACAGACATGAAAGGCCCCTAAAATCCCACCTAAAACCTAAAAATGGCAAATGGTCATGATTTTATTTAGGGCTTTCCACCCTCAAGGTACTCAAAGCGCTTCACATCAAGGAGCCGCTTCACACACATACGCAGACAGGGGGGGCGAGATTGGTTAAAAGTCTTGCCCAAGGAAACAACGACAGCATTGTTTCCTTAGCATTCACACACCAGTAAACGCAGACACTGAGGGCGAGACGGGTTAAGAGTCTTGCCCATGGAAACAACGACAGCATTCATCTTTGGGAGCCGGAATCAAATTTGTTTATGTCAAGAGTGTGGTTCGAACCGCCAACTTTGGGATCAGTGGACAAAAGATCACTCCCATGTTCCTACCACGTGTATTCCCATCTTAACCAAGCTATCTTCTGGATGTAAACAGAGTAAATCCGTACACTAACATATTTTTCTCTTCTCTTCCAGCTGCGGTCGACTACCTGGCTAAGAATGTGAGCCTGTCCACCCAGAGGAGGATGAAGCTGGGAGACCACTCGGCCGTGCTGGGGTTGCTTCAGGTGGAGACAGGGCAGGCCTACTAAACAAAAAACTAAACACCATCGCTAGCTAACAACTCTCACGCTACACCAAGACTTCGGATCGGCACTGATTTCTTTCCGGAACGAGGAAAAAAATAGCTACTCTGCAAGCTATCTCCGTGACCACTGGAAATCTTGGGTGCCGAACCGGTCTAAGCGCACATAAACTTGGATTGTCGCGATTGTCTGTGGACTGCATTCACGCACTGAGCCATTGACGATATGTACTTTGCTGTTCATAGTAGCTAACGAAGCCAATCTCTCATTTCCTTTTTTGATATTGTTAAAATTGCTGTTATAACGATTATGGTGATTTCCGTTGTTCCTTGATTCGCGTTTATATCTTTTCCTGTTTAGTCGATGTGTAAAAATAACCGAGTGGGACCAACGGAGCGTGCGTGGTGCGTGAATTTGAAAATACAGAATTGTTTTTCAAGCTGCTCTTCCTTCGGCCCGTTCCCTTGAGCTTTTGTGAGCGATTTGACCTTCTTACATCCAGCATTTTGTCCTGACATTCCTAAAGAACTCAGCCTCTCGGTGGGAAGTCTGACTGGAAAGATCCTGTTGGGAATTGGAGCAGTGTTCTTGGCTTGACGCTAGCTTTATTTTTTTTTTTACCCCTCGCTAACCTCCATCCCATCCTTAGCTGCGGTCCTTGGGGAAGAATGGCATTATTTACAAAAAAAAAAAAGGATTGGGGGGGAAAATTAATGTATTTTGTTTTGGAAATATGGACCATGCCAAAGAGGGCTAGCTCGCTCCTACCCCTCGATCCTAAAATCCAGGGAATACTGGGAATTCTGTGTGTATTTAACAGTGTAAAGAAGATTAAATTGCCCAAATGTAATGTCAAAACTAACTGACAGTGACCCACTCAACCAATAGGGGGCGCTTCTCTTATTGTGTACATGCACTTTCAATTGAATTCCATAGCTTCCAATACATTCCGTAGATGTATTTACAAAAACATTCCTGAACGCTTATGAAGGATAATTAAATTGTTGTTACATTTTAGACAGAACGAAGATATGAACGAAAAGAATGTACTTAAATGCAACGTCAAACCCCAAATTTCCACAGTAACACTAAGAGGATTCCAGAAGTTTACCAACATATAGTCATTCCTGAACTCTTAACATTACCGAATTCCAAAAGTGCACACATGACAGCATTCCTATATACTATAAAATTTCACTTAATCGGGTCAGCCTCAGACCTCCACACCTCAAGTTTGAACCAGATGCCCCGATAATCCTCCCCATTCACAGCAATGTACAAAAAGAAAAAAATATATATACTAGTGGAGACATTTGTGTAGCCCTTGTAGTCGACTTTTTTCAAAAATCGGGACCATTTTGTGAAAACTGTACAGTAGTCCGAGCAGCTTGTTGTATACATTTTTTTACTAAACCAAGATGAGTGATAGGTAAGCAAGGATTTCAGAAAGTAGATGTCTTACTCTCTTATTTTGATTTTACTTTCTTGTATTTTTTACGTTTTTTCTAACTGAGTTTTGTTCCGGGCCCAAGCTAAGAAGAGTGGAGCGTTTTGTACAAACTAGTTAAAGTATTAATTCCATTGAAATTGTTGCTATAAAATTGTACAAAAGAGAGACTTAACGGAAAAGGCAGCCTCTTGGACATATAAGGACTATTGTATATTTTGAACCAAGCCTGGATGAAACGTCACAATGCGGAGAGGATTTTGGGACCAATGTTGCCAGGGCGATGGACAATGGACCTATCTCGCAATCCCTCTGGCACAAATGTCAATGTTGCATTCGTGGACCAATGAAAGTGAGAAAAGGTAACACCTCACATGTGTATATTTTAAATACAAAGGATTTTAGACTTAGTGTGAATCCTCATTTCTAACACGTCAATAGACATTTGGATATTTAAGCCACTGAAAATCCTCCAGCCTCCTGTGCGTTCCGATGTTAACCTGTTTTTAGTTGCTTCCTGACCTGTGCTTTTGGCCTTTTCCGTTCGGCATGTGTGTATATTCCCATGGTATAATTTATTCTGCTGTATGAAGTATTAGAAGTAGTGGGAACTTGTACCTTCAGCCTGTTGGTGTGTTTACTGTAACACTGGCGTAACTGTTATCAATTAAAGATTTAAAAAATACGCTTTGGTCTGTTCTTGTTTGTTTTTGCAAAGGTGTGAAGTATGGTGGCCACTAGGGGACAATCCAAACACACGTTACACATAAAGGTAATGTAAGGAAATAAAAATAAAGCCAAATTAAAAATCAGATATGATATTTTTAACTAATCCAAGACAGACTGGAATGATAATTGCATGGGTGAAAATGGTTTAAAATGTGAAATTAAAAACAAAGATGGCAGCGCAGATGGAAAGTCACTTACTTTTACTGATAATTTTTGACTCAACAATTTACACAAGTATCTTCAGATATTGCAAAGAAGTACAATGAAACTACAGACTTGGGAACATGTTGACTTCATTCTGAAAGTTAGAATTCATATAAAACGATAGTGTTTGGAAGTAACTGAACATGTACCAAGAATATTCTCAAGACTTATTTTGAGTAACTTTATTCAGAATACAGTTACTTTTCTAAAATACATTAGGCTATTTGATCATGTAAGGATTCAAACTGCACAGAATCAGTGAGAAAAATAGTCCACTCTTCTCTTGTGGTGAGGCAAGTGAGATTTTGATTAGTGATGCTTTGAAAACAGCAAATACAAATACAAAACTGTACTATGTTTCATCTTTACACTATCATTTAAATGCAACTCAAAGCAAAAGTACTCTATATATTCAGAATACAGTACTCTGATTGGACCATGTATCAGAGTAAAGTTACAAAATACATTTTAATTCAGCTTTTCAGTATTCCGTAACTAAATACATTTTCAAAGTATTCTTCCCATCACTGAAAATCGATAAATAAATAATTCCGAAAACAAATTGCAAAAGACTAGAGTGAAGCTAAGAATTTATCTGATATAAAATGAAATCAGAAGTTATGTTGAAAAATTAAACATTAAAATGATATTGAAAGAGAAAAGATGAAAATGAAAGCAATATTACAACAGTTTATATCAAGTACGCTGTCGAAAAAATAAAATAAAACTGATCTCTAATGTTACTTGGGCAATTTTTTTTGTTTTTCTTCAGACCCTATCCACTTGAAAACACTCACAAAAGCAGTCGAACAAACTAGAACGTAATTTATGTATGTCACGTTAACCCATGTCCCTGTCCAAACCGACCCTCTAATGATATACGGTGGTTTAAAGGTGCAAACTTTATGAGCGTCTCGTAGCATTAGCGTAGCATTAGTAAAGCGAGCGTGTGTTCCCCATATGTGATGTGATTAAGGAGTGATGAGTGCTGGACATGACAGGGCTGCAGCTGGAGGAAGTCATTCATTGGACCAGCTGACCCCCTCCTGCTCCCTCCCCGCACCCGGAGCGGAGAGGGCCGTCTGGGGGAGAGCGCTCCGCAAAGCCCCCTGGTATGGTGTCAATGCGGAGGGCTGACCAAGAGTTATGAAGGCATTCACACAGTCATATAGTCCACGCCGTAAATACAAACACGTCATCCTCGTTTCACCATAGGCATCGCTATGTCGGACATGACGGAGGTATGGACATTTAAATGTGAGCAGTGAAATTTTGAAATGTGAGAAATACTTTTGCAAATAGAGCTTAGTGTACAGTTACAGTACATGTTGTGTTGTATAGAAGTACTTTTATTCACTGGTCAACAAGAATTAACAAAAATGGCCATAAAACTGTAAACATTTGTATTTTTCATTCATCTCCTCTTTTTATTGTTTTGTTTTCTTTCTGTGTTCAGTTGAGTTTTAAGCCAGATGTTCTTCCGCTCAAACCCAACGCCATAAAGGTGTGGACAATACGCCTCTTGTATGGAGTGGGAAAGCTTTCAAAAATATTCGTGTGCATAGAAATCTGTGCATATTTGGGAAATCCGTGCATATTTGTCTGTAGTTGAGCATAAAATAAATATTCGTAAACTCTCGAATGAGTCCAGTCGTGCATAAGATGTATTGTGTATATTTTATCCATCAGAATATGAATTGAAAAGTTACAACATCAAGAATTACAATCATGAAATGAAAATTTACGATTACACTTTCTTCAGTATGAATACGAATTCACAGATACGACTCTACTGTCAAAAATACATCACCACTTTACAGGCATTATTTACTGAGCAGAAGAAACATCGATCGAGATGCCGGACTTTTGCGTCACATATGGACTGAACCAGGACTGAACCAAAACTGAACCAGGACTGAGTGTCAGGACTGGCCTGGAGGTCCCCATAGACCATTAGGTGAGTGCAGGAGAAAAGACCAGCGCAGAGGTCTGTGCCCCATGGAGATAAGCGCAGCCATCACCCGATCTCTGTCTCTCAAGTCCAAGATTAGTCCTGGTTTAGACCTGATGTAGACCTGATTTAGACCTGATTTAGACCTGATTTAGACCTGATTTAGATCTGGTTTGGTCTTGGTTCAGTTCTGGTTTGGTCCTGGTTTATTCCAGTTTTAGTCCTGGTTTGGTCCTGGTTTATTCCAGTTTTAGTCCTAGTTTAGACCTGGTTTATTCCAGTTTTAGTCCTGGTTCAGTCCATATGCAGCACAAAAGTCCAGCATCTCGATCGATGTTTTTCTGCTTAATAAATAATACCTGTGAAGTGGTGACTTATTTTTGAAAGTAGAGTCACGTCTGTGAATTCATATTCGTACTGAAGAAAGCGTAATCATAAATTTTCATTCCATGATTGTAATTATTGACGTCATAACTTCTCAATTCATATTCTGATGGATAAAATACACAAAATACGTTTTATGTACTACCGGACTCATTCGAGAGTTTATGAATATTTATTTCATGCTCAACTACAACCGGATATGCATGGATTTCTAGCCTATGCACACAAATATTTCTGAAAGCTGTCTTACTCCATACTCTTGTCTTACCTCAAGATACAGCCACACTATGC